ATTTAATGTTGTAGTTATATCTGGCTCTCAGGACAGAGACTGGGGGCTTCTGCAGCAGACGAAGGATATTGCCATTTCCTTTGGGCTTGGAGGGATGGAGTTGGGGCCCCATTGGGAGGGTTTGGTACTTGATTTGGATAAGTTCCTCCTCTGGATGGACAAGCTGGCAGGGTGGAAGCCTCTGCCATACTTGTTGCTTCTCACTGCTGCCTGCCAGGGAGGCAAGAAGGTGATGTGAAGCAGGGGCACCCAGTCCCCTGGCTCTACTTTGCTCCACCACTGCTATGGCCTCTATTTTTCCTGAGCAGCATCAAGTTACCTACACCAAGGGATAACAGATGTTATCTGTTCTTTAAAGAAAAGAAGGAACCTTAAAAGGAGAAATTGCTGCTTTGCTATTTGTTTGGCAAATGAGAGGAACCACCAATCGCTAGGAAATGGTGGTTTACAAACTGCCCAAAGAAAGACTGACAGTTTGGCATGTGTGGGGCCAATACCCAGGAGGTGACTCTGGTGCTATCACTTAGCATGTCTGCAGGCAGGCAGATTTTCTGAAGGGATGTTCACTGCTCACAGTCTCTGCTCTTTCCCTACCTAGGGTAAATTGGAGAATTATGTCTATGAGGTGCACCATCTTTCCCACCAAGCAAAGCTGGCTTCCAGGACCTCAGGATTTCGTACCACAGGGCGTGTTAAAACTGTCCAGTACATACATTCATGTAATGCAGCATAACATGAAGACTGCTACATTCAAAATGACATTTGATATTGCTGGAATTTTGAAAGAGAACATGGGAAATAACCATTTTATGGTGTTTATCAGCATTTCATCCCAAAGCACTCTTCTAATGCCAAGTTTTACCTCCTTTTACAAACAGCAAAATAATGTGTTGCACATATGTATTTTTACCAAGGTCAGAGAATGGCAAAATGCTGAAGTTTTGTTGATTCTAGGCCTCAGTCACTGGTTCAAGGCCAAATTCCTCCTCGATAAGAACACACTGCTTGCTCACAGAGCTGTGCTGCCAAGCCATTGTACAGCACCAAGCAGAACTGTGTCTCTTTTCCATAATACAAGCTATGATGCTGTCACTGATAACTCAGGTATAAAACAGAGATTAGTTGTGATACAAAACTCAAGGTAGTTCTGTCCTTTGCAATATTCTCTGGCTGAAATGCAACAAGCATGAATACATGTTAATTATTCTTGTATGGCGCAGTATTTTAGATTTAAGTAGAGTCATGCATGGTTATTACTCACAGATATTCAAAACCCCCAAAAATTGCCTTTGAGAGCACTTGAGGACATTTGAAAATACACAAATGCGATGTGAAATTTAGCCCTCACATCTTGTTCTAAAGCCTGTGCATTTTTCAATTTTTAATAATTGTCCAATGCTATAGATGACACCCACTGAACAGAAGAAGGCCTGGCACATCCAGCATGCCACAGCCTTCTGGATGCTTGGTTATTTCCCCAAATTTCTAACAAGAACAAATAATCTTCACCCAGTGTAATAAGGTCTTGTTGCATCTGCTACACAGGGAGGCAACTCGTAACGGTTGAGAGGATGGCCAAACCCTCAGCTAGCAACTAGAACCTTCAGGATAAAGACAGGCTTTGTGTTTGCAGAGAGGGGGATGGCTAAATTGTTCTCCAGAGACGATTAGTTTTATTGAAGTCCCACTATTTCTGTAGTTCTATACAGAAGTAGGAAGGTCTGAACCTTAGGGAAAATACTGTTTGCCTTTTTCATACCATTGGTTAATTTGCTTTTGCTTTGCAGGCAAATATGATGATAACTTCATTACACCAGTCCACTACTAATCAACAATGAAAGAGTAGTGTTTTAGAGTTCATAAAATACAAGCAATATTAATGGCACAGTTAGAAAGGAAACACTGCCGTTTTGTTAGCTAATTATTCACATTGAGACTAAGAACAGACTTCAAAGGCATTCAATTGGCATTAGGTATGTTACCCAAGTTGCTGTTGTTATTGCTTTGTAGAGAAATCAATGTGAAGAACAAATTTCCATTAACTTAAACTGCAGAAGCAAGCAGCCCAAACATTGGGAGTATTCCTGTGAAAAACAAGACACTTAAATATAGAGAAAAGTAGTTCTAGAAATTTTGGTATCTTAAAAATCAATTCCATCTTTATTAAGTTATTACAGAAATCTCTAACAAACTTGTATTCAAATAATAATATTAATAATAGAAAACTGTACAGACAGGAGTGGTCCAGAACGAAGTTCCACATGATCCCAGTAAATAATGCCATACAGTGAGGTGTTCAGATCCTTACACAAATAACAGCATCACCTACTGTCACAACTGTTTTTGTTTGTTTGTTTGTTTGTTTGTTTTAATGTATCAGAACTGCTGAAGTTGAATAAGGGGTTTCACTTTAACTTCTCATATTTAACCTGTACATGGTTCTCTTACGAGAGGAGAATATCTGCAATAGAGTACTTCCCTCACTATCCGAAGATACTTGGAAAGGTATAGAACTGAAAATGTCTTTTGCAGGAACTGCTCTGGCAGTTGAGATGCTCAAACCTTCCCTTCAGGCAGACAAACTTCACCTCCCTTTCTGGGAGCATTAAGGTAAGATCTCACCAGGCACTGTTCGGGAGTTGAATATATTCATGTAGAAATCTATTAGTAGTTCAGTGAAGAGATTCAGAGGCACCAGAGCACTCAGAGAGGCTGCTCCTTTAGATGGCCAGATCAAATTCAAGCCAAAGACACAGGCCAAGCTGGATGCTGTCATTCTATTATATATGCTCTCCTGTGAAACCTGAAAAATAAAAACATAAACTAGTACATTGCAGGCACACACCCTGTGACTGAGAGACAAAAGAGCCTACCATATCAAGAATGAGCCAACGATGAACATAGTTGCTAACGACAGGTACATCACTGGCTTCCTAACTGCCTGAGGACTGACCATGCAGCTGAGAGGTAATGGGGCCACCAGGGTCTGTATCCCTCAAGTACAAGAAAAGATGTCAGTAAGTCAAGCAAAAAGCCTGCACTGATTCCTTTTGCTAGGAAAATTAATTGTGCTGGGTTTTCTATATGGAATATTGTTGTTTTTTCTGCTAGAGGGCAGGGAAGAATGGCAGAAACAGCTACTCCATCTGCTTGTGCTATGTCCTTTACAGAATAAAACTCCAGAATTCTGAAACTGTTTGCAAGGATTTAGAAATATATATATTTTTTTTCCAATGATGCATGACTTTCTCTTCTAAGTACCTCCACATCTCCCTAGTTTCCCTGATGCAATGGAGGTGAAAATGGATTGTAGAGAAGACATGCAGCACTGAACTCTGCTCTCTATCTAGGTGATGTGCCCTAAACATATCTGTAGACTTGAACTCTAAAGTGGGCAGCAGAAATAATTTTATTTTCTGTATAAAGTTGTCAGGGCATTTGTGCATGTTTTGCCTCTCCTGCACTGTGTGGTTGGTATCTACGGTCTGGGTGATAGGTTCCCTGTTACTGCAAACAGTCAGCAATTTGAATGTGCTTTTATTCTTCCTGACATTCCTCCTGACATCCTCCTTGATTATTAGGTGGATAAGAATTGGTTGAGTGGTCATAGCCAGAAGGTTGTTGTCAATGGCTCTGTACCTAGACAGAAGCCAGTCATGAGTGGTGTCCTCCAGGGATCTGTCTTGGGACAAGTGCTCTTCAGCATCTTTATCAATGAGATAGACAGTGGGATCAAGGGTACCCTCTGCAAATTTGCTGATGACACCAAGCTGAGTAGTACAGCTGACAGAATGACACAATGAAAGGGAGGGATATCATCCAAAGGGAGCTGGACATGTGCAAAAAGCAGGCACACAAGAATCTATTAAGATTTAACAAGGCCAATTGCAAGGTGTTGCACTTGGATCAAGGCAATTCCAGATATAGGTACAGACTGAGAGGACTCCTAGCGAGCAGCCCTGCAGAGAAGGCTTGGGTGTCACACAGAATCACAGAATGGCCAGGGTTGGACAGGACCTCAAGGATCATAAACCTCCAAACCCCCATGCCACATGCAGGGCCACCAAACTCCCCATTTAATACTAGACCAGGCTGCCCAGGGCCCCATCCAACCTGGCCTTGAACACCTCCAGGGACGGGGCATCCACAGCCTCTCTGGGCAGCCTGTTCCAGCACCTCACCACTCTCTCTGTAAAGAACTCCCCCCTGACATCCAACCCAAATCTTCCCTCCCTCAACTCAAAACCATTTCCCCTTGTCCTGCTGTTATCTACCCTTTCCAAGAGCTGACTCCCCTCCTGTTTGTAGGCTCCCTTTAGGTACTGAAAGGCTGCCATGAGGTCACCCTGCAGTCTTCTTTTCTCCAAGCTGAACAAGCCCAACTCCCTCAGCCTGTCTTCGCGGGGGAGGTGCTCCAGTCCCTCATCATCTTCGTGGCTCTCATCTGGACCCTCTCCAACAGCTCTCTGTCTTTTTTGATGGGTCCTGATGGATGAAAAGCTGGACAAGAGCCAGCAGCGTGTGTTCGCAGCCCAGAAAGCTAACAGTATCCTGGGCTGCATCAAAGAGAGGGGTGAACAACAGGGAGAGAGAGGTGATTGCCACCCTCCCTCTGCTCTTGTACAGCCCCATCCGGAGTACTGTATCCAAGTCTGCTGTTCCCAGTAAAGATGCAGAGCTGTTGGAGCAGACCCAGAGGAAAGATGAACAAATTCTGGAGCACCTCTTCTATGAAGGAAGGCTGAGGGAATTGGGCTTTTTTAAGTTGGAGAAGAGAAGATTCCAGTGAGACCTTCCTGTGGCCTTCCAGTACTTAAAGGGAAATTACAAGAAGAAAGGGAAACAAGTTTTTCCAGGATCTGATAGTGGTAGGACAAAGGGGCATTACTTAAAACTAAAAGAGGGGAAAATTAGGTTAGATGTTAGGAAGAAATTTTTTATTCAGAGTGGTGGTGGTGAGGTGCTTGAACAGGTTGCCCAGACAGGCTGTGGATGCCCCATCTCTGAAGGCATTCAAGGACAGATTGGACGGGTCCTGGCAGCCTGATCTAGTGGCTGGCAAAGTCGCCCATAGCAGGAGAGTTGCAACTAGATGATCTTTAGGGTCCTCTCCTCTAAAGTCTAAGTTACTCCATGATTCTATGACATTATTAGTTCAGCCACTCCTTCCCAGACTGATAGCTGCAGTTTTTCATCGGCAATAAGAATATGGTCTGTAACTGTAATATACAGTTTTTCTAAACTGTGATATACAGGTTGCTCTGAAGTTGTCAACCTGGAATAGAATGGGGAAGCATCAGTTAAATATTCCTGTGTACTACTATTTCAAGTGGAACAGGAAACCAAAAACCTGCGCTTCTCAGCATCTCTCCATTTCTGGCTTTTCCATAGGGTCTCCTGAAAAGACGGCTTAGTAGTATTATGGAAACTCTGATGGTACAAGAGAAAAAAAAATCTAAGGAATGCTACAATCATGTGAGCAGATACATAAACTTCCCTCTACTCAGTAACACAGGTTTCTTTTCCCTCTGTCTCTGGCTCCTCGGTGTTCTACCTAGCAAGAAGCCTACTTGGTCAGCCATGAAGGGATATAAAATCCTTCAGACATGCATGCAGGATGTTTTTTTTTTCCTTAGGAGACATGAAGAAACACATATGTGCCAAAAGGTTAGCATTTTCTTCCTAACCACATTTCTTTGTTGCAGTGAGAGGTATTATTTTTCCTTCCAATCTTTGCCTTAACCACCTAGGCCATTAGAGATACAACAGTACTACAAATATTAAAGGATTCAATTGATTCCAAGGTCATGAAGCAGGGCTGGATAAAGGAAGGGAGTTTTAATAAGGGCATACTGTTGCCATAATCACCTTTTCAGAGGATTGAGTTCACAACGTGAGAATAAGGGTCATCAGATTAAACAGCGATGCCTGCTCCATGACCTTATGCAAAACCCACATCATTCTCTCTTGAGTATGAACTGCATAGAGCTTGCTGACCTTCACATAATGCTCTCAACACACTATTTAACTATATAGAAAAAAAAAAGCAAACCAGCAAGCTATTTTCATTCCTTTAATATGCTTCAGATGAGATCAGCTTAAAGAAGAGTTCATTGTACTACAGCAGTGTAGCAAACACTAAACTGCTACCAAAGTAACTGATAAGGAAAAATAATTAGGATGATGATAATCATTCTGTTAACAAGCAGACACAGACATAAGTGTAATCCTGATGAAAATGGTCTTTGAATAAAGCTAAATGTGATAAGGTTAAGCACTGATGCTTTGGCTCTAAGGTCAAGTGACCCATCCTGACTACATCCATAGAGGGTAATGTTGTGCCAAGCAGTCTCTATGACTTAGAACGAATTATTTTTGGCAGTTCTTTCACCAGGAAGTCTCAAAAATAACATGAGAGCTCTGCTGCAGCCCCTCACATTGGTGTTTTTTATAGCATGAAAACAAACACATTTGCTGCATATCCCAGGGAGGTACTTTAGGTATAGATAAGATAAGTACCTTTGATAGCACAAAAGCTATTTGTATAGTACTGGAGGACAGAAAAAGGTGGAAGGAGCTACACCTGTTGCAGTTGTGTTTTTCCTGGTTTATAGGGGTGTTCCTGGCACACTATCCTGCTGGCTGTGTGCAGGCACTGTCTTGGAGTGCTAGCTGAAACACATTCAGCTCAAATTTGCTGTTTCCTTCAAATGCCAGTTCTTCAGTCCAAAGCAACAGCACTGCAACTTGCTGACAGAACTAGTTTTGTGGTGTTTTTTTTTTTGTTAATTCTCAGTCAGCTGTCACATAGAATATTTCTAATCCCAAGATGAAACCACCTCTTTCAGTCCGATATAACTTCATGAACATTTCAAGGAGGCAGACAATGTTGAAACAATCAAGAAAAATACCCATGACACAGCCTCTCCCCTGAGAGTGAAAATACATAACATAAAATGAAACAGTGATTATATCTGAGGCAGAGCTACACTGTCTTTTCTGTGAGTCATCAATTAGCCTGACACTCAGCAATTCAAGGAAGACATAGCATGTTGTTTTATTACAAATTGCAGAGCAATCCTTTCCTCAGCAGATTAGAGAAAAAGCCTGCAACTGAAACCTACTCTCTCTCCACAATAATCTTGCTGGCTCAACGAGAACTGCAAGCAAGGAAGCCCTTTCAAAGAAAGATAGAAATCCTGAGTTGGAAAGGATTCACAAGGATAATCAATTCCAGCTCCTAGCTGCGAGTAGGACCACTCAAAATTCAAACCATATACTGAGAACACAATCCAAATGCTTCTTGAACTCTGGCAGACTGAGGCCATGACCACTGCCCTGAGGAGCCTGTCCCATCAACAATCATTCCCTGGTAAACTTCTTCTTAATTTCCAAACTGACCATCTCCTGTTGCATCTCCATGCCTTTCCCTCAAGTCCTGTCACTGTCAACAGAGAGAAGGTCTGGAGCATCTCTCCTATGAAGAAAGATTGAGGGAGCTGGGTTTGTTCAGCTTGGAGAAGGCTCCAGGGAGTTTTCACTGCAATCCTCAAATATTTGAAGGGAGCTTATAAGCAGGAGAGAGACCAAATTTTCACATGGTTCAATAATTACAGGATGAGCAGGAATGGCTTTAAACTAAAAGAGGGGAAAATTAGATTACATGCTAGGAAGAAATTCTTTACTCAGAGACTGTTGAGGCATTGCAACAGGTTGCCCAGAGAAGTTATAGATGCCCCATCCACAGTGGCATTCAAGGTCAGGTTGGATGGGGTCCTGTCCATGATGGTGGCTGGAACTTGAAGATCTCTAAGGTCCCTTCCAACCTAAGCAATTCCATGATTTAATGATTCCAAAATATCAGCGCCTGCCCCTGCACTCCCCCTCTCCTGAGAAAGCTGTAGGCCACCATGAGGCCCCCCCTCAGCCTCCTCTTCTCAAGGCTGAAGAAACCAAGGGGCCTCAGCCATTCCTCATACATCCTGTCCACTAAACCCTTCACCAGCTTTGTAGGCCTCCTTTGGACACCCTGTAATAGTTTGAAGCCCTTCTTGTATTGTTGCGCCCAAAACTGCACACAGTGCAGAGGAGAGCAGAGCCTGACCAGCTAGTAGTGCTGTGCCTGATGCACCACAGGATATAGTTGGCCTTTTTGGCTGCCAGGGCATGCTGTTGACTCATGTTCAACTCACTGACAATCAGAATCCCCAGATTCCTTTCAGCAGAGTTGCTTTCCAGTTTCTCATCACCCGTTCATAACAATGGTAATGGCTTTATCCCTCCCTGAGGGAATCTGGCTTCAAGCTACTTCAACTCCTCCAGTACTCCAATGCCAGATTTCTTTCTCAAACATCACAATCAAATCTACTTCACTGACAGCACTATCATGAGCAATTAGTATTTTCTTCCCACACAAGACCATCCAAGATCAGCACTTTTTGGTGTCTTCTAAGTAGCTCATAGCCCAGAGATGTGCTCTGAGAAGTACAAATGACATATTTAACATTTGGACTAACCCCCTAGACTCTTTCTTTGATTCCATCACAAAACTACTGTCACCATTTCAAGTAAGAACACGCTTGCTCTATCAATTTCAGAAACTAATAAAAGACAATTCTCTAAGGACCTACATTTTGTCTTTGAAGACATCTGAACATCACAGAAAAGTGTGACAAGAAAGACCTACACATTTCCAGCTCGTTGTTCTCTTTAACTAGGACATGTATAGAAAAATCAATAAGTAGCAACAGATTATACTGAAAATAAGTCATCTAGAAATCTTTTTCCTAGTCTTCAGATAAAATCTGCAAATTCCTATGCTAATAATTGGAAGTAAACACTGAAGATTTAGTGCGACATCAACGAATATAAAAATACATGTCCATCATGCAAGAGTCAGCTTCCTGCAGCAAAATTGCATCAGTATTTCAATTCCACATACATCCATTCCAGCACCCTCATGAACACTGCAGGAGTAACACTAGTCTGCCACTATTTTACATAATGAAATTAAACAGTGAAATGATAGAAGGTCGAAACATCCAATTGCTATACATTTTAAAATTGTAAGGAAATCATCACCTTTGAACTTTGTACTCACAATCATCAACAGAACCCCAAAAAACATTTTCAGAAGAAAACTGCTAGATATTAAATATCCCCCAAAACTTACTGGAAATGCAAGTTTCTATCCCCGCTCTCTGCTTGCCTCGTAGAGATGCCAGCTGCTCGTGTCTGCTTCATCACGCTCAGTCATCTAATCTTTCCCAACGTGACCCATCCCCCAGCCATATCCAAGCTTTACTGGTGCTAATTACACTTTTAAATTGGACAAGTGATTGCGATAAAACACTAATTCAAAGCAATTCAGAGCTTTTTTTTTTTCCCCCTCAGCTTGTACTTGGCTTTAACTATGGTGCTTCATTTTCAGCTCTGAAATGTAGCTCACACGCCACAAAATCTTGTTTATTTTTTTCTATTTGCTCCATATTGACATTTTGAATTTGGCAGAGTTTTGCAATAGCTGCTTGAGGCAAGTCAGCCATCATTATTCTTCATCAGGCATGAATAAAGGGACAGAAAGATACAGTAAAGAATGGGGAATATATGAGCTGTTCTGCCCCTCACTCCTAGCTGTCTGATTTTGCCTGCAGACCTCAGTCCACGTTGGAGCTTCAGATCCCTCTCTAGCAGCTACATGCACTGCAAAGTGGAGACAGCACGGACCTTTCACAGCATCCTGGGCTCATTACTGGCAAAATAACTGCCAGTTTAAGGTTAAGAAACATGGACGTATTTTTGAAATGCAAGTCTTTTACGTCTGTAGAAGTTGCACTGTCTTGCTGTAGTGCCCTTGGAGTAGAAGTAGTCATTTCATTCAGCTGGGAGGCTGAGACTGCAGAGAAAATACTTCTGGTTTTTTTCTTTCTTCCACAAGCCTGTATCAAACTTACGGTGCTCAAAACCTACATCCAGTGATTACAATTCATTCCACTTCATGAAATTACCACAAGTATCTCTAGCACTACTCAAGGTTGAGCTCAGGAAGAATTAAATTGGCTCATGTATGTAAGAAGGTTGATGCTTGCAGGTAAGAACTAGGATTAGTGGTAGAGCAGTCTACATTTGAATTGTGTCAGCTTGTGCAGTGCACTAATCTGCAGTGAATAGAAATCTCTGGTTTCAAGATTGCTTCACATTCCCTTGACCTTTCCACATGCAAATATTCCCCAAGACATTAAAGTTGAAAAGCTATGGATCAGCAAAAATTGCAGAGCTGAGCACTAACATCAATTTGACACGTAGCCTTATATAACAAGGAACACTCAAAAATAATGCTATCTTCTGTTGCCCAATTACAGAGAACACTATGTCGTACTTTTGCACACCTCATTAACATCTCAAGTGCTCAGCTCTTAAGAAATGCATTGAGATGGTCCATCTATTACTGGAATAAAGTCACTTACACAATTCATAATACTGAGCAGACATATCAGTTGATAAAATAATAGCAAATGACATGAGGATTTTCTTAACAGCATTAGAGTTCAGTTAAGGAGCAGTAAATGAACATGTGAGTATTACAACAACCTTGCCAGTGCTGTCAGTGCAAGGGTCATAGCAGTGTGTTTCCTTTGATCCTGCCTTTCTGTAATGTTTCAGTACAAAAAAAAAGTATTAAATATCCTTCTTTTTGAAATATGCTAATGGCTAGAATATGGCAAACATATTTGTAACCCAATAACAATTAATGAGGAGGAAAATAAATGTCATTCCATATTTGTCATTACTTTGATGGGCTCTTAAGTCTTCTGAAGGCTAGATCCTTTTATTTAGACATCATCTAAACCAGAATTCTCAATTTTAGGCACCTGGGCTTGAAAAATGCAAATTGGAAATGGTAATACATTGAATAAGGTGGGAGGAAGGAAAAATTACACTCCTATTACTGTCTTCTCCTGCACATAAACTAGCAACAACAGGACGGCTGCAGAATGACTATAATTGAGGTTTCCCAAAGTTCCAAACTTGTTGGAATATGAATAACAATTAAAAAATGATTCATTTATTCTGGACACAAAAATACTGCAAAAGGGCATGATTAAGTATTTTTGTTTGAGAATGTACTGTTACAGAATTAAAGGCTATTTTAAACAGGAAAAAGTTGTTTTTAAAGTAAAATATAAAATATTTTGCTGATTACTTTTCTAAAGGTCACCAATATTTTTTAATAATTTTCTAAAGTGACATAAATATATACTTAAAGTTTTAGGTGCCAGAATTTACACTTTGGGGAAAAAATCATGTTATGTACTTTTTCTGCAGCACTAAAAGATACTCAACTACTATTTTTAATATTTTTCATTCCAAAATAGGAAAAAAAGTCACTAAAACATACTTTAGTGAATGGGCAACGGAGGAGAGCAGACTTCTAAATATTCCAGTGAAGGCACAGTTTCAATTAAATTCACACAGTACTACTTCTTACATGTAAAGAATTTCATGGTGACTGTATGGCTGAGACCACTGTTTAGCACAAAGCTTTACTAGATGTAAAGAAATTATTGGCTGTACTTTTGGAATTTTTTCCTATATACTCACCATATGGAGAAAGCATATCAGATATTTCAGAACAATGTAATTGTGTTCAGGAAGTCCTTGAATGATTTGTTTACATCTGGTTACTCGTAAACAGCTCTCCACACCTGCAATATCAAAGTCAGTCTTAAATTAACCCAGAAGCATCAACGTATTACCAAGAAATGACATCTTTTTTATATCATCTGGAATTACTTCAGCTATCTGTCTGTAGAGCTGGCCACAAAAATCACCTTTATTAATGTCTATCCCCATGACAGCAGGTTGGGCTGACTCTTAGGATAAGCCTATCGTATTTAGTATTTTCATATATACGGCTAAGAATATTTTCCCCACTCAGTGAAGTAGCCAAGGTCTTGTTTTGAATCCATTATCTCTTCACGCATTGTATCCAGATGTCTACTTTTTATACCTTGATTTTATTCTAGCTGAGACTCGGTCCTGCAAAGCTCTTTTTTGGCACTCTACTAACTCCAAACACACTTCTGTGATTCGGCTGGAAACTTCTTTCTTGGACAAAGATTTACGAGATGGACTTTTGGGTGAATAAGAATTTTCTAGAGATGAGCCAAATCAGATTCATTAACACATTTCTACAGATGGGCAGAACTGGAACCAGACCCCAGACTCAGCGAGACAATCTGATTAAGAATATGCTAGCACTGGAATACATTTTGAACATTGTTCCAAATGATTTTATTACTATTATTTTTGCTGGAATATTTTAATAAATTCAGTACTGGAAGATTAACACCTAGCTGGAAAAAGTACTCCTGACTACAGTCATATCTGACCTAACCAGCTCATTTGTGCTAATGTTTTTTTCTCCATTTGCTCCATTTTTCTCTCTCTCCCTGACGTAGCTAAAGATTCATATAAGCATGTCTGCAGGCACAAAACTCCAGCATGTTAGAAGTTCCCTTAAGCTGTGATTTAAATACATGAAGCTATGCCCCGTGAGCTGCGTTGATATTTTTACTACTGCAGAGCTATCAGTTCCAGTAAGACAAAAAATGTGAGTCACAAGAATTTTTTTGTCAGCCTTCTGCAGGGTAAATAATTCAGAAAGTGTACCAATACTGGGCAAAGGAACTCGTTAGCAGCATTCACAGCCTTATAAGAAGTTCTTTGAAAACTACAAGCTTAAAGTTTCAATTCCCTTTTTTTTTTTTTTTTTGGTCAGTCTCTCAGCTAATTTATTTCCCAGCTCCTGTGAGTAACTCTTGTAAGAATGTTTCAAGTGAGACTAAGGAGAAAAGCTTCACTATAATTTCAAAGTATTGTAAAGCAGTGATAGTGTATTTCTGGGTTTGTGGGTTAAGAGATATAATAGATAAAACACACAGTGCTTTCCAGAAGCCAGAATGAGAATTTTCAAATCATTCCAAGACAGCTGTCTGCATTCACACCTCTTCAGAGCTCCCTTCTGCACTGTATTCACAGAGAATATAACTTTGCTGCAGCCCAGAATGGCTCTCAGGCTTAGCATCTTTAAAAAGTAGGATGTCACCATAGTATCAAGAAACAATAGTGGACATCACACTGAGTAACAAAAAAGCCCAAGGAGAAATTCTCTTTAACTGCATCTTTCAAAAACAAACTTTGCCAACATTTAAAACACTGATAAAAATAGCATGGATTGAAAGCTTCATAGATGTTTTCCTGTGCAAAAAACCTCAGCATTGGGGTAATGCATTGCTTTCAGGTTCTTTTCAGATGTTTTCTTCTTTTTAATTAGCTCTTCAAAAAGTAACAAACTGTACAGAAAGACAGAAGATTAACTCCATAAAAATTACCATTCCCCTATCCCTTTCCCAAACTTCATCTATTCTTTACACTGTTCTGAATGACTATCCTTATTCCCTCAATTTCTACAACCAACCTGTGAGGAGACTTATTTTATTTTTTTTTAACATGCTGAGATAGTTACTCTGTAGATAGATGAATTTTACTTCATAGGTGTGAATGCATCTGATTTTGCCTACCATAACTCCTTAGCCTTCAGGGTAATTTCAGCTATATTTGATAAAAGAGGTTGGGGGTCCCAACTACAGAAGGCATTAGGTCATCTTCTAATTCTTGCAGATAGTCACCAAACTTCTAATCACTGCGTATGTTTTGGTTTTGTTTGTTTGTTTGCTTCATTTGTAAGTCCTATGTGACAAAGTAGCATCCAAAATGGCAAAAATATTCATAAAAATTTTGGACATTTCTTGTTTGAGCAACTTGTGCTTTGGAAAAAAACATCTTTCCCATTTACTGCAGGGTTCACAGCTCTGCCCGATGAAAGCTGTAAGAAAAGTAATTTCAAAATTGGAACTTTTTTGGTGTGTGTGCAAAAGCAGATTTTTATTCTCCCCATACTGCCAGCAGGGAAAATTGATCGAAAAAAAAAAAAGAGAGAAGAACAGTGTCCAAAGGACTGATTTTTCAAGTTGCTTTTCTATAGAGGATAGATTTCTGACATTGTGCTGTCATCCATCTGCTGGCAGCCGCCAACATTTAAACTGTTGGGACAATTAGATCAGATTTGAGAGAGGGGTAGGTCAATGTCTTTTATATGCCCATGCATTTTGTGGAATTAGGTAACTGAGTAGAGAGGGCAGGTCATAAAGATGCTCCGACCATGAAAAAGTGCTGCATTGTGATATCAGTTCTCTCTGGGCATTAGAGAAGACAAAAGAAAGCTCATGTTTGAGATGCAAATCCATGGGAATCCAGGCTTTATTAGCTCTTCTAGTCACAGGGCTATTTCTTCTTACATTCCTCTGAATGCACAGAGAGAAAAAACACTGAGATTAAAAATTGGTATCAGGCAGTGTAAATACAGGGAATACAAGAAGAATGATAGAGAAGATAACAACTTATTTACCATAATTATAATAGAGTCTGTAACATCTACAAAAACATTCTCTAAAAATATGTGTTTGCACTTTTGTACTGAAGGTTAAGCCAAACCCCAGAAAAGAACAGTGAAGGTGCTAGGTGCCTTGTATATCCAGTATGGAGCTACATGTCAGTTTTCTGAGCCTTCATGATACTCAGCAAAACAGCAGAGATTCTGACTCCCATGTTTCAAACTCCTTGACAAGGTACTTTATCCACCTCTTCTGGGTGGAATCCCACCTTGTAACAGTACAGATTATGTCACTATCCATTAATAGCTGCAGTGAAGGCAGTAATACAGTTACATACCCCCAAATGAGCCATGGTTAGCAAGCAGCAGTGAATTAGCAAGGTTCGGTTTAATTAGCTGTATGAATTTTCCTAAAACTGGATTAATACTCACTGGTAATTCCAACAATAGGATCATAACACTCAAAGGTTAGCAATGGCTGAGGAAGTTCCCTAAGGAAGGTCTTTAGGATAACAGCAGGAACATGGATATCATGATAGTCATCAAAATTTACAGGCTTGCCTAAAAGGAAGGAAAAAAGAAGTGTGTTCAATCAGATGTTTTACTTATTCTCTGAACTACTGTACAAAAACTGTTTCACACAAGGATTAGATAACTCACTGGCTTTCCAGAAGCTGGTAACTCCTACAGTTTTCTCTTCATATTTTTCAAGGCTTTATTAATCTTGCTGTAAGTGATCCTCTCCTTAAACGCATACCATAAAATTACTTCATGGAGAAGTCACTGACTTTCAAAATGACTTCATTACATTTCATAAATTATTATGTAAAATTGTACTCCTTTGCCATAGCCACGGAAGAATACCAGGGGCAAAATGACATGAAGGCACTATACTTGGCATTTTTAACTAACTGCAGTGACTCAAACTGCACAAAGGTAATATGAGTGTCTGAGAAACCAGACCATTTTTTACTCAAACCTCAACATTCTTCAGTTGCTACAGTTTTTGAAAACTCTGACATCAGTTAATGACTCACTATTCAGTAAGCTTTAAGGTATCTATTGAGCTCCTGTACTAGTGTTCTTATTGTATTTTAGATTATAAATGACTTTATGATTAACTAATTATTAAAAAAATACCTAACATCTCTGCTTCATTGCTTGAGACAAGATCAATAAAGCCCTCACACTGTTATTAACCTGTGGCAATTTTTATAATGGCAGCTTACCCTGGTTGTAGAGCTTCTGAACATCTTTGATAGTCTGGATGCTGGCTGACCTTCTGAAGAGGCCCTCTACTTGTAGTCCTGAAAAATACAGTTCATGTCCCATTGGTAACTGATGTCACATTCTTGTTTTGCTTCACAGATTCAATTGAAAACAGAGCAGAGGAAGAAGGTTTGGGAACAAACCTGCTTGGTACAGTCATTGTACAAAACACTGTAGTAGTGCCTAAGGCATTTTCTTTAATGCCACTCATAGAAGTACTACGGCCTTTACATAAGTGTTTTATAAGTGTCATGTCAATGATACTCTTTTCTTTAAAAGTACTTTTCAACAGTGCCTCACCCTCACTTGGTTTATCTGCAAACAGCCACACCTGCTGTTCTGCTGTTCTAATTTAAACACCTTAAAGCCTTTAGCAAGCTAAAGAGAGTATTTGCAAAAATTTCCTGAGCTCCTACTATTGTCAGTACGTGAGACAAGATGTAAGCTAGGGGATGCTTTACAGCATCTTTGGATTGAGGAGTCCTTACTACTGGAGGGATATTGGTCTCCCCACCTTCAAGGTACTTTTGAGCAGACCACTGCTTCTTCCACCTCCCTCTGAAAATCAATGGGACTTAAGACTCTGCCTGCCCATGGTATTTTGAAATACCTAATTCTAATCTTGCTAGGCATCTCTGAAATACGTCTTTCATGTCTTTAACCGAAATCTGTTTTCAGCTACAGAGGAAAAATGTCAACAAGCTGCATACAATCAAGGATTGAAATTGGATAACAGCTTTCAAAGTAAGTTATTTGATTTATAATGCAAAACAGTATTGGGATGTTTTACTTTTTTGAGACATGCAGTGCTTCTTGCTTTTGAGATACGTAAAATCATCATTTCCTTCTCTGTCTCCCTCTCTGGTTTGTATTATTCCTTCCGCTTAGTAGGAAATACAATTTGGCTCACATGTAGTTGCAAACTGAGATTCCCACTGGAAGCACACTCACCTAAAATATTAGGCTTTCTGACAAAACACAGCAAAAATATCAGTCTTTTTGAGAAGGGTGACAGACCACCCACTGACTTGAAGAGGCTGTCGTTTGTTTTCTTTACATGACTGTGGAAGAGCAGATGATTGACTTCTTTATTTTTTCATTCTAATCTTTCAGCTGCTAAGTAGTCAGCCTGAAAGTTATGCTTGTGTTTCTCAACTGAAGTATGTGCACATCTATTTACAGAATCAAGAGTTGTTACGGTGTTCCAGAAAAATCTGGAGTCATGCACTAACATGCACTATTATACTAGGATAGAATCATAGAATCACCAAGGTTGGAAAAGATCTCTGAGATCATCCAGTCGAACCATCCACATATCACCAATATTTCACACTAAACCATGTCCCTTAGTGCAACATCTAAACGTTTCTTGAACTCCTCCAGGATCAGTGACTCCACCACCTCCCTGGCAACTCATTCCAGAGCCTGACCACTCTTTCAGAGAAGAAGTATTTCCTAACATCCAACCTGAATCTTCCTTGGCACAACTTGAGGCCATTTCCCCTGGTCCTATAGCCAGATACTGTCATTCTTGTAAATTCACACAAGTTGCATACAAAAGTATATTTTATACATGAAAAACTAATAAATGCAAAATTCCTTAATCAACCTTCTCCTGATAGAATGGCATTTAGCATTATTCATATGATTTCAGATCAGTATACTAGAATTGATAATGTAGTACTGAAGTAATTGTGTTTCAGAGACTTTTGCAAAGAAACCCTAGGTCTACTTAATAGTGTCCCATTCACTAGAATTAGAAGCTTATCTGGAACTGAATATGGCACCCTAATTTTTTTCTGAACATGTATGTTCCCACTTCTTAGACTCCAGTTTAAATACTAAAAGTTTAACTTATGCCTTCAAATCTGGAAGGTGTATGAAATCTCGTACTACACGAGGAAGGCTATGTGTCTGCTTACTAAAGGAATCTAATGGATGGTGATTATGATCTATTTGAATGATTGTTTAACTCTCAACCAGATCATGTTCAATTGAATAAAGTCACTGCAAATGATATCACTGTAATAAAACTTTTCCATTAGATTTATAGTGCAACCTGTCTAAAGGCATGGCTTTGGAAGTGGCAGCTCTGAAAAGCTAGCTTGTCAAGACACTGCCCTCAGCAAACAACAAATGCAATAATTTTCTTAGAATTTGTAGAATTTTATGTTGGCTGTAAGTGGACTGCAGGTTTTCTGTAGAAACATGTCTTTCAGAAGATGGACAAATATGGATATATGGATAAATGCTAACAATTTGGTTTGCTGGAAGTGGTTTAACAGTTAATGCTTTAATCTGATGTTAGTCTCACTATATAAACTAAGGTGTAATAAATATCCATTTTTAACATGTGTATTCCTTTATTGGCTGTGCTTTCAAGAGTCTAATTAAAGACATGAATCTCCAGTGCAGACAGCGGCTGTACTTGTCTGGTTCTGCATCCCATCAGTGTTACTGTAATGGCACTATGCTCTTGCTGGATATGTTATTTGGAAGTCCTTGGGAGGAGAAAACAACTATTTCCTCATTTGCAGAAGTGTAGCATACAGGTGAAATTTGTGGTACTTTCAGAATTAAATTTCCAGAACAGCTGGAACTGGATCAGTATACCATAATTTGTTTTACCTACAGGTGGTAATAACCAAATACAAATGCAGGTGTTTCTTCTCCTTACATTCTTCTCCATACACATGAACTGAGTGGGATTCTTTTTTAAGAAGTCCACAAGCCTGTTATTTGCCCTCAGTGCTTTCTGCACTTTAGAAGGGCCTTACATTTGAATGGCAGTACTGCAAAGCATTTCCCACATCATCTAACCCAAATCCCCCAACAGGAGTCTCCTAATAAGGGATGGGAAAGGGAAAAGGGACCTGAAGCCTCTTACCAGTGATTCAACTATGAAGGGTAAGTACTCAGCCTGACACACAACCAGGACATACATTTGCCAAGCCTGGCTATGGCTCCTCCTGTTCAGCCAATAATGGGGAAAAGTCAGCCCGCAGTACTACCATAATTAAGCACTGTTTAGCACTAGGTGCTCCCACCAAGTGAAATTAATCACTTTGTCTTCTTTTTTGCAGACACAGTTCATGTCAGAGCCACGAGCGTTAAAGGAAACAAATTGACTGAAGACAATCCTGGTCATTTCACTTTAACTCACACTTTTCTATTCTTTCAAGAATGTGTTTTGACTTAGATGACTCAGTATTATGTTAGTAGTATTCTTCAATCAAATTCTATTTACAAATTCATATCAGCTATCTCTTTATCTCAGTTGAATTTTGTGTGTGTGTGTGTGTGTGTACAAGTTCAACTATTTTGCCACTAAAGGCATGGGTAGCCAATTCCATAGAGAATACAAAAATCAGACTAACAATCAGACTAACAGTGCTTGCCAGACCACTGCTAGCTGATGACTGGCAGTAACAGCAGTTATGATAAACATGCAGCTGCACATCACTCAAATATTCCATCAGTGCTGCAGAACTGCTATTGAGATAACACAAACTGCTCCATGCCCCTTGTGCATAAAAACAGACAAATAGATGGACGGATAGATGGACAGACAGATATAAAGACCAGTAGAATGTTGCTATCCTGCCCTAAGTACTCTGGACTAAAGTGAGTAAAATTTTATTTTAAATATTAAATGCTAGAGAAAAAAACATTGTAATATGACTGAAGAAGAAACCATCTGTATTCAATGAAAAGTGATTCTGAGATTGAGAACTTAACTGAGTAATTATTTAAATGTCAGTAATCATAAATGAAAACAGACAGGCACTTCATTCCACACTGAAATAAGATGGGTTTTACCATAGTAGACAAAATTTTACAGTGCAGTGACACAATTGTGTCATACTCTGAATTAATAAACTGCTGCTAAAAATACTTAACCCCTTTCTGCCTCCCCGATCAGTCGTTCCAAAGGAAAAACACAGAAAATCAAAACAGATAAATTAAAACAGCACATGCTGACACATTGCTGAAAACTTGTCAAAGAAAGGGAGACGTGAAAATTGCATTCTTTTTCCTTCAATCATCTGGCATCAAAATTCTTTGTTAATTCGTCTGCTTTCACATGAGAAACAGCAATGAATGAGCATCTGAATTGTTTCTATCCAAAACTGAGTTTGGAAATGTTTCTTTCAATTGTTGGTCCTGCCAAGTTTCAGGAAGCATCCATCCTGATTTGGAATTAGTTTTCATCCTCACTTACACAACTGATTCAGGCTTCTTCTTCCAGATCACCCAATTCTAATAAGAATCCCTTTTAAAAATCAGAACTTGTTTATTTCTACCATGCAGACTGACTAATATATACCATATTTTAACTGTCCACGTGGAGCATAATCTCTTAATTGTCTGGTGGTAGGAATTAACAATTTTTATATTTAAGATAAATTTGGGCTATATATTTTTTAAAGTAAGAATACATTACAAGTTTCAGGAGGGGGTTACACAGTGTTCCTATACATTGTGCAACAAATATGGAGCAAGTGATCATAATGTCTGCAGTTTGTAAATGATTTGCTCTGCAAGATGGTACAGAAATTCAAGGATAGAGGGAAAGAGAAAGTACAGTTCCAGCCCTATGGCAAAGCTGCTGCAGCAAGGATTTAGAACAATGTATCCTTCCAAGTACCCAAAGTGTGTTTGCGTCCTGGCAGTTCTGAACAGCATAGGCTAGCCTTTGGATTTATGAATGAATAATCTCAGTTTATACTTGGCACCTCCAAACATAATTTATTTACAATGTTTGAGCATTGAAAACACAAACTGTGCTTATTACACGGTCCATTTTTATTTGATGACACATGAACCGGTCTTAAGATTTATATAATCTCCATTATCCCTGGGTAAAGACTTTCTCACCAAAACAGAAAGAACTAAGAACTCAGAAATGTTTGTGTGACCAATGTCAAGCTTTCCCAGTGTTGCATTTTTAGAAGATATTTGATTGATTACAAGAAGTGGAAGCCAGGAGGTAAACTCAGTAAGCTGCAGCAATCCAAACGCATTCAGAATTTATAAC